CCTGTATACTAAACCCTGAATCCTAAGCCCTAAGCCCGCCCCAGGTTTGGACCGAGGACTGAAAACCCCAAACCGCAAACCCAACCCCCAAGCCCAGAAAACCTACGTCCCAAGCCGGGCCCTAAAACACTCAGCCACCTCGAGCCCTACAACCGCCCTACCCCACAAACTGTAACCCTGCACCCTAAGCCTGAAGCTCCGAAACCTCATGAATCAGGTCCCTGGCCGTGTCAAATTCGGCCACCAGAGTAGCTAGCCTGTCCTCCAAGTCCTTCCACACGTCGCGAACATCATTCTTCCACCGTTTAGGGTAGGGTCCCTTAAAGAGGGATGCTGTGGTAAGCAGCCATCATGTGGATTACACAGCTTTGCATAGGGGTTATATATGGGTTTGGCAGGGCAAGGTACATCTGTTTGCCTCAAAATGTTCCGAAGGAATTTTTACATACCTCACTAAACTCCATTAAGATGAGTGCTACTGACGCTTCCTACCCAAACCCCAAGAAGCAGCCCTAGAAAAGCTGCCATTCTGTTCATTGTTTGGTTCATGTAAGGTCTATATGAGCTATATAGTCTAAACGTCTAAACTCCTAGTATTCCCCCTTGTTAACCCCTAAAAACTCCCCCATATTATCTCGTATATGACCCCCTTTAAGGAGCTTAGACTATAGCTCGTATGGCGCTCCACTTTGGGGAAGAGCCTTGATATTTGATGCTGTGCTCTGTTGGAAACACAGCCGACGTGTTGCAATCTTGGCGGCATCTGGTCCGTGCTGGGGCTTTCCAGGCATCCACGAAAGGTGGCACTGTGGGACAAGCCATCTTGAATACCGTAGCATCGAAGCAGCTTTAGACCCTCTGAAGCTCCGTCTGTTCGTGTTGACACTGGCACTATAGCCGACAAAACCACAAGTTTCTTATTCCAACCTCAAAACCTGCGGGTTGATGAATGTCAGCTAGCCACAAAAGTCCAGCCCTAAAATAGGCTTAGAACCTTCTTTGTACATGAAGGATAGAGAACTGTGAAATCTTTAACCCTAAATGGGAGCTTCCAAAAACAGAGAGCCGTTGAATAGACCCCAATACAAAACAGACCTTCTTACATGTACATCCGACATGGGACTCTTAATCTATTCATAAACCGAACCCTACAAACCCCTCTATCACCCCATCTTCCATTTCATTTTCCATGTCTTTCCCATTTGACATCCCCAAGACCTCAACACTGAAACCCTGGATCCTAGATAGTAGTTTCCATATTCTATCCCTACATGAGCCATAGTCTAAACTCTTAGTATCCCCCTTCACAACCCCTACAATGATACTCCCTTATAGAATGCCCTCTATAACCCCCTTGAGGCAGTTTAGACTAGGGCTCTAATAATCCCTACATAATCCCTGTAGTCCTTGACCATGGCAGTCACTTCTCTGTGGCGTTCATTGGCTTTCTCCAACGTCTCGGTGGCTTCTTGCAGGGACCTGCGGCTTGGCGAGTTTAAGAAAAAGGGGCTTAGGGATTTGGGGTCAGGGTTTAGGGATTAGGGTTTAGTATCTATGGTGTTGAGGGCTCCAAAAGTTTTGTGAGCCCCTTGATGGGAATCTCAATCATATAAGGGGATTCTGGTAGCCCTAACACCAGAATTAAGGTCCTCATTAAGATCCTCTTTTCAAATTTGGGGCGAGTTCTTACTGAGGAGTATGACGACAATATGTGTTAGGCGCCTAAATTGGGGCGCTCATTCATGGAAAGCCCAGTGTATCGATTAGAAAGTTGGAGTAGAGACAGGGTAGAACCCTACACCCTAACTCCTTTGGTCTGGGAAGTTCCAGGTCAAAGTCCCAGGTCTAAAAGAGCTCGCGGGGTATCTGGGCCTGTCTGAGCATCTGCACTTCCCTTCGCGTTTCGTTGGGGAAGTTTGAGTGGCGATTCCAACAGCCCAAGACGGTATCTGAGCGCGCTTTAATCACAAAATCCGTTTTCAATCCACCTGAAGGTGAAGGGAGCAAGGTGGGTATGCACTTCCTACCGGGCACCAAATGCCTGCACAAGTTAAGTACGTGCCACAACACTTTCCCCAACCCGCCTGCAACGAAAGGCAATGATTTTCAAACTCATTGCTGCATGGAACTACGGCAGATCGCAGAGCCACAACAAGGACGCCGGTCCAAAGCATGCTTGGGCTTAGACTGCTGCTGACCCCGAAAACCATTGGTATATAGGGTCCCCGATTGAAACCATCAGGGAACATTAGATGTCCCAGGGGCCTACCCAGTAGGCTGCTGCTGGCTCCCCTTGACGTGATCTAGACTAGACTAGAGTTGTTTGATCGGCCTCTTCTTCGGCTCGACCTGGCAAACGACGTCATAGTACCTGAAGCGCGCAATGCAGCAATTCAGCAGGCCTAAACCCTGAACTCTATCCAGTCTCAGGGTTTAAGGAGCATCAATAGCAGACATGGCACTAGTCATGGTAGCCGCGGTGCGGAAGCAAATGCCGCAGAGACAGCTGCAGCAGCAATCGATCCAGTACGGTAGCAGCAGCAAAAAATACACTGTTGTCGTCGTAGCACCAGAAGAATCATAGCCGTAGTCATCATCAGGAATGAGGTCAGGAATGGTGCAGCAGGGTGTAGTAGCAAGCCGAGTTCTGCCAGAGTTCTCAGGCTGGAGATGCACGCAGCTTCACTACCCGGCAAGTACCCTTCAGGCACTGCAACATCAACTTCAATCTCAACTAATGATGTCACTGTCGCGTCCTTGCTTGGCGGTCTCACATACCCCACTAAGGGGCGCTTGATGATGTTGATGACGAACTCGCTTAAGCCGCCTGCTGCCTGAATCAGAACTTTTTTAAGGACACGGGTCACATGTTGGCTTGTGGCTGTCGGCCCACTTGCGCAGCAACACATTGACATTGATTCTACTTGTGTGTTCTGGGCTCACGCGACAGGGGCTCTAAGTAGGATAGCTAAAGTTGGAACCTCGCTTGCGCAACGCAACATCTCAAGATCCTCCATCGGTGCACTATATATCTGCCCAGAAGTCCTTCTGGCAATAAATTCTCCAAGCAGTGTTCTGGCAGTCCGCCCCATCATGCCCTGTAGCAGCCCTTACAGGTAGCATTAAACCAGATCCCTACAAAGCACCAGGGAGTCTGTTTCTGTTACTGGTTGCTGTCAAGGAACACCGATTAAGTTACGTTGCGGAGATCATGTTACTTACTATGTAACCATATAACGACACCTGAATTTGAGTCTCTTAAATCCCTAAAATATCTCCTATATCACCCCGACATCCTTTCATGTTCCATGCATTTATTTGATTCTCGTAGTGGGTAAAATCTCTATAGCCCCTATGTGATCCCAATATAACACATTTATATACCCTATAAACCTTATACTGTCCCTTACCCCTATACAAAGCTATATGATCCTGCTATAACCCCTATAACTATCATTGCAACAGCAACCCAGGCTACTTCTGACCCCTAAACCATAAAAACCCTAACCGTTGTACCCCTCGACCCTAGACCCCTAAACCGTAAACTCCCCCCCAAAACCCCCCAAACCCCTAAAGCCTTAAGGCCCAAACCCCTGAACCCTAAACTCCTGGGACTTCTTCTTCATGTTCTCCGGGAAGAACTCCTCACCCAATCCATCCTTCAGCTTCCTGGCCTGCAGCTTACAGGACTTAAGGGTTTAGGGTGTAAGGGTTTAGGGTCTAGGGGTTTAGGATTTGGGGTCTAGGGGTCTAGGATTTTGGGTTTAGGGTTTGAGGGTCTAGGGCTGAAGGAAATCTGAGAGTTGCAGGAGTTGTATGGAGATATACACTCCTGGAAACTAACATGGAAACCCAAAAGGGGCCCTATAAAGACTACAGTCCCTCTAAAATGGGGCTATATGGGTTTCCATGTTAGTTTGGGGGAGGTAGTGACATCTAAGCAAGTAGAATTGTGTTTAAAGAGTCGACGACCAGGCCAATTCAGCAAGCTTCTACATTAGATGGCTTGCATGTGATTCCTTCAGAATACAGTCCCCCTTAAGTAGATAGAATATGGGTTGTATGGGGATCTTATTCTAATATACCCAAAGCCATATTCTATCTACTTAAGGGGGACTATATCCATGTACCCTATAATACCTATAGTTGCCATGTTCTTTACCATTATCCCTATATAACCCCTATATACTCCCATATAACCCCTATAGAACCCCTATAATCCCAATAGTTTCCATTTTCTTTTCCACTATCCCTATATAGCCCAAATATTTTCCCATATAACCCCTATAGTAGTTTCTCACCTTTCCTTGTGCTCGTACTTATGATTCAGCCAAGGCTTGCAGCCGGCAAAGTCAGTGGGAGGCCGCCTTGCCAGCAGATTGCTCACATTACCCTAAGGGTCCAAGGAGTTAGGGGACACCTCGCCCCACACCACTAAGTAACCCGTCGGCCAACTCGGCGGCCAAATACCAAGCCAAAAAATCCCGAAACCATATT